CGCGGCTGCAGCCGGGGGGCTGGGGCGGGGGGTGTGGGGCTCGGGGGGAGAGGAGGGGCCCGGAGTCGCGTGCCCTGCACTCAGAAAAGGCAAAGGGAGCAGGTGGTCCGGGCAGGCTGGAAGCCCCGACAGGGAAGCCCAGGAGCTCCCTGGGCCGGGGCATTGCTCTGGTCCCTGGGCCAGGTGCCCAGGGCTGGACATCCTTGGCCTGGCTGAAGCCCGGGGGGGTGGGCGGTGCCCGGCCATAACTTCGGCTGGCCCGAGTCAGTGCCGCTGTGCCGGACCACCCCCATCAGCGCCAGCCTGGACCTGGCCCCGCACCTGAATCACTGAAAAGGCACCTCGGGGCCCAAGCGCGGGCAGGGGCTGCTCCCCGCTCCAGTCTGCTGCGCTACGGCCTGGGGGGCTCTCAGGGGCTTCCTGGGCCCTGCCCAGCTGTGGGGGCTGCTGGGAAGACAGAGACCTGCCTGGCCAGGCTGGGGGCCACTGGCCTTCTGGGCTGGGCAGTAGGGGTGGGGGCTCTGCCAGGCCGTGGCGGTGCCTACCTCTCCTCTCCAGGAAGATGACCTCGGCGGGGGGCCCCGTGCCGACGGCGTTGTAGGCTGCCAGGTAGACTCTGCGCGTGCCGGCGGGCACGGAGAAGTTGCACCCCATCTCTGTTGTGTTGCAGACAGTGGTCGGCATCCCGCCCCTTTGCCGTGGGCTCAGTGCCACCCAGTACCCCAGGATCCTGCCGTTTGCCTCCTGCTGCGCCAGGGCCTGGGGGCAGACGGGCTGCATTCAGAGGTGTGGGGTGAGGGTCCTTGGACCGCAGCCCCATGGCCGTGGCCACCCTGGCCTTACCTTCCACAGCAGCTGCACCTTGGCTCGCTGCCGAGAGCCTGAGGGCGTCACCTGCCACCAGGCGTCCGGCTTCCCTGCAGGGGCTGGGGGAAGAGGAGGCGGGGGGCTTTTGGCTCTGGTCTCCTGCCCTGCCCCAACACCCCCACCCTCAGCCTGGCTCGGCCCCCCTGGGGCCATGGCAGCACCCACCTTTCTCGTGGGTGGTGAAGCCCTGCTCCACGCTCCAGTCGCTCCAGTAGCTGGAGAACGTCCTGCGCCGGCAGCGCATCTGCAGGCGGTACGGCATCCCGAAGCGCAGGCCGCAGTGCTGCACCTTCTGGTTGGGGCTGATGATGTCGGAGACCTGGTGCCATCACAGCGAAGGCCCTGTCACCCCCCTGCAGGGCCTTGCCTTGCGCGCCAACCCCCCGGCCCTATTCTGGGCAGCCCCTGGTGCTGGGGGGCTTCCCACCCACGGGAGAGAGGGGAGGTCAGGGCCACCGGCGCAGCAGGCCAAGCCCCGGAAGCCCAGCTGTCCCCGGTGTCCTGTCCACAAAGGGACCTGGGGTGCAGTGACCGGGGGTGGCATTGGGCTGCAGAGCCGGCCACAGACTAGTGCGGCAGGCAGGCCCTCAGGTCTCCCTGCCCTGCCCTGCCGGCCCCTCCGAGCCATACGTGGGCCCCTGCTTCCTCGACGGGCAACCGGGAGCGCAGGGAGCAGCTCTATGGCACCCGTGGACACGGAGCAGGAGCCTCGACCGTGAGACCAGCCCCCAGAGGCAGGAGGGCCGTGGACCCCCCCTCGCCCCCGCCCCACAACACAGCGGCCCCGCTGCCCGCACGGAGCCCTCACCAGCGTCCAGGCAAGCTCTGTGGCCGCCCGGTAGCGCAGCTCGCACTGCTGCTCGATGTAGGCGCTGCTGGGCGCCACGTCCCAGGCCACGGCCACGCAGTCGGTCTGGAAGGGCTGCACGCTCGTCAGGATGGGGGCGTCCAGTTTGGCTGAGGGCAGGACGGCAGAAGCTGGCACCACTGCTCTCCCTCGTGCCGAAGGACAGCTCCCCCCACCACCGTGGCTGGGCCCACCCACGCGAGCGCACACGGCACAGGCCCTTCCTGGGCCCCAGGGTGCCAGCGCTGCTGTCGGCCAGGCTGTTGGGACCAGCGCCTGCCCTGTGAACATGGGCACAGCCCGAGGCCCCGGGCTGGTGGCCGGTCCTGGGCCGAGTGCTGGCTTTTAGGGGTCTGGCTTCCGAAGGGCTCGCGCTGGCCCGCGCCCCGCGCCGTGCTCACCCACTTCGGTGGGGTCGAGGCACAGGTGCTCCGACTCGGCCGTGCCCAGGGCGTTGCTCACCCACACCCACAGCTCCATGTCCTGGTAGAGCTGCAGGTGCTGGTGCGGCAGGGTGCAGTGGTTCTCCCCTGGCAGCCTTGGGCGGCACTCCTGGACAGCCTTTGTGGCCACCCTGCAGGTCCTGTCGGGCAACAGACAGGTCAGTGCATGCTGGCGGGGCCGTGGCTCCTCAGATGCTCTGGGTGCCCCCGCTACCAACACGTGGCTCCTGCACTTGCCTTTCCCGAGCGCCCGGAGCCGGGCACGGCTGGGGCAGTGCTCTCCGAGCAGCGCCCACCGGCAGAGCAATCCAGGGGGGCTCTGCAGGGAGTCCAGCAGGGCTGGCTGGGCCACAGGCACTGTGCCGGTGCTGGCATCGGGGGCTGCACCCTGCAAGGTCTCGTGTGCCCGTGGGAGCTCCAGCCCCCTCTGGGATGTGCCTGCTCCCTGGGAGCTCCCATGCTGCCCATGGCGCCGCAGGGGCCAGGGCTCGACTGGGCAGCTCACGGGAACCCCTGGGCTGGCAGGGCAGACACCAACAGTCAGCAAACACCCAAATCCTTCCTTCCTGTTGCCCTGCCCTGGCCCTGGCCCTGGCCCTGGCCCTGGCCCTGGCCCTGGCCTGCTCTGCTCCCTCCCTGCCCTTGCCCCTGGGCCCAGTGGCCCAGCCAGGACACCCGTGGCCCTGGCCACTCACTTGCGGCTCTTCAGGATGGTCTTAGTCGGCAGGAGGCTGTCTGCTCCGGGATCCCAGTGGCACGTCAGGGACTTCTCATGGAGGTTCATCATGCACGTCAGGTTGTGGGGCTTCGAGGGTGGGTCTGTGGGGAGTGTGGGCACCTGTGGGTCTGGGCACCAGCGCTCTAACAGGGCCGCTGGGCCCGTCCCAGCTCTGCCCCTCCAGCCTGCTGTGCCACCCACTGCCTCTGCCCTTGCTCCAGGTCGGGGCAGTGGCGGCCTGTGCAGAGGGCACCCTGCCCCATCCGGGGGCTCAAGGCGCTGCAGGACCCTGTGCTGTGCCTCAGCTGGGCTGTGACGGGAGCTGGGCCTGGCTTCCCCCCTCCAGCGCCCGGACAGCAAGAGCTCGGGGTCCCGCCCCACAGCAGACAGGCATCCTGGGGCACCATCCTATCCCGAGCATGTCTGCCCACCCCCGTGGTGGTGGTGATGGTGGGGGGGGGGCGCTGAGAGTCCCTGCTCACCCGCTGCTGCGGGCTCTGCTAAACCCTATGTGCAAGGTGCCCGGGGCACAGCCGGGGAAGGACGGGGTGTTGGGGGCCGGGGTGATGGCAGGCACAGGCAGACTCACAGCCCGCTTGGATGTCGGCTGTGGCGATGAGCTGGGGCGTCTCCATCTTCGTCCCTGTCCCCATCCCCGCCAAGTAGCACCACAGTTTAGCCCTGCTCCAGCTGACGTGGGCGATGGTGAGGTTGGACTCGACCGTCCCATTTGCACTCCAGTCCTGGGTCCCGGGCAGGGTCTTGTTGTCCAGCTTCCACATCAGCCGGATGCCCCCCTCCTCCACGCCTCTGCCAGGGCTCTGGGCTGTGCCTGCCCCCAAGGAGCTCGCAGGCCACCCATGGCAGTGGGCCCGCTGGACGCGGCAGGAGGCCGTGACAGGGGTTCCCAGCAGTGCCGTGCGGGGCTCCACCTGCACCACACCGCAGCCCTGTGCTCCTGCGAGGAGAGAATGAGCCTCTGCGTCGGGTCCCGCCTCGGGGCAGCCCCTGGCCGGCCCTCTGCGCTGCAGGCCAGGGCCCAGCATAGCCCGAAGCAGCCACCCGGCGCCAGGCTTCAGTCTTTCCAGCACGCACAGTGCCCCCAACCTGTCCTAGTCCATCTGCTCTCCAGAGAGGGGCTCCGGGTTGGTAACCCCCCGCAGGCCTGCATCTCGCTGGGACAACTCCCACCAGCCTGAGATGCGAGGCTCCTTTGTCCGCATCAGCCACAAACCCACTGAGCTTTCCAGAAGCAGCCAGGGGAGAAGCCCAGGGTGGCTCTGGCTTCGCTCCGAATGGGGCTGTCTGCAGGGGAGGGGGCAAAAGGAGGCTCTGCCATCCGGGCCTTCGTTAGTGCAAGTGCAGGGGTTGCTGCAACAGCCGCGGCTGCAGCCCAGCCCGAGGCCCCGCATGGGCATGGGGGGAGGACATGCCGTGGGCTCTGCTTCCCTGCAGGGCTGCATCTGCTCAGTGCAGACGGCGTCTGCCACCGCTCTGGGCCGTGCCCCCCCAATGCAGGAGCTGCCAGCTTCTGCCTGGGCGCATCACAACGCCCTGCGCCGGCGGGAGGCGCCCCACACGGGCTGGGCTGAGGCCTGTGTGGCGCCCGGCACGCTGCCATCAGGGCCTCCTGCCTGGGTCTGCAGGGAGGGAGTCAGGGCTTGGGGGATTCCCAACCCCGGGACCCTGGCATTGCTGTCAGACTCACCCCCCAGGAGCAGCAGAACGAGCAGGGAGGATGGCAGCATCATTCCCCTGTCGCTGCGCTTGGCCACGGTCCTGTCTGGGGCTTTGGCATCACCTGGGACACACACATGGAAGTGTCACTCTGCAGGCCAGAGCTGGGGTGTGTGTACAGATTAACCCTTGCGATACAGTCCCACATGATACACGTTGGGCGCTTAATAAGTATCAGGCAAAATACACTGGCTTCCTCGGCCGTTAGATCCACCATGGTTCTCTGTGTCTCTCTATAGTGCATGCACACGCGCACACTCTCTCTCTTTCTCTTTCACAGGCCCATCAGACCCCCTGTGGCAGCAGCAACTTCTGTCTGGTACGAGGAGGCACCCATCTGCAGACTTCCCGTGGGCTCGGGGCACTTGGCTAAAGCCATGGCAGCCCCTCTGCTCTGCTGGGGCGGGGGGCGGGAAGGGGCTGCCGCCAGCTCTTGCTGCCCTGTGCTCCATGCAGGTGCAGCATGCCGGACATTGCGTGAAGCCCGTGCCACTCGCAGAAAGAGGGACGGGAACGCCCAGGCTCGAGGGCATGGGGCCTGCCACGTCCTCTCGGTGCTGGGGATGCGTTCGCCCACTGCGCAGTTCCCCTCCGAGGGAGCCACTGACCCCAGCAGCTGGGGAGCAAGGACCAGAGCTGCTGGCAATGTTCCTGGGTCCCGGCTGTTCACACCATGCTGAGGGGCACGATGCTGCCCTGGTGCCCAGAGGGACCATTCCTGCATGGTGCTGATACCCAGCCAGGGCTAGTCTCCAGCTTTGATTCTCTTCTGCATTTCCCTGCCATCCTGCTCCCCATGGCCCCTGCCCTGCCCTGCCCCATGGCTCCAGCGCTGACCCCCCTGCTGATGCTGCTGGGACGGCAGCCCTGTCATGCGCAGGAGGGGACGCTCCACCCAAGCACCTTGACCGCAGCCCGAGGGCTCAGTGCCAGGCCGGCCGGTGCCAATGGCAGCGGGGCAGCCCCTGGGGCAGCCAGAGTCCAGGCAGCCCCGGCCCATCCCTTACCTCATCTCAGCGCCCGGTGCACGCAGCCCCCAGTGTGCTGCTCGCCCTCAGGACCGGCCCGGGGCCCCGGGAGATCAGAGTGTCCTGTCCAGGCTCCAGCATGTTGCTTTTGCCGTTAGTTCCTCAAACCCTGTGTCGTTAATTGCTCCGAAGCTCTGGAGAAAAGGTGATTGCAAAACACTTCCCTGAAGGCTGCGTGTGCCCCACGCACCGGCAGGAAGGAAGGCGCAAAGGCAGCCCACACATCCAGCCCTGGGGAGCAGGCTCTGGTCTTCTCATCCTCCCCGGCCACCCGCCTTTTAAGCAGCTCAGCTTGGCCCAGTGGGGATGGAGCAACAATGAGCTTGTTTGCTGTGACCTTGCTGGAGCCTGCGGGGCTGATCCAGCGCTGGCAGGGGTGTGGAGGGGCTGGAGGCATGCTCGGAGAGGACTGCTGGGAGGGGCTGAGCATGCTGAGGTTTTCTGGGTGCTCTGCTCCTGCTACGAGGCACCCAAGTGGCCCATCGCTGTGGCAGTCTCAGAGGTTTCCCCTTCCACGCAGCTCAAGTCCCCCAGAGCCTGTCGCCTTTTGCCACGTGCATTCATTCCCCTGGGCTGTGAGGCCGAAGCACTAGCAGCAGCGAGGTCCTTTGTGGTGTTCAGGGGCTGGAGCAGGCAGGACGTGGTCAGGCTCGGTGCCTGTTAGCTGCAGCTGGATGTGGCCACTGTAGCCCTGCACCCCAGAAGTTGGTTGAGCTGCTGCTCCAGCACCCGGTGCTTGTGTGGGGTGCACCAAGGGAAGGTGCATGGGAATGGGAGACCCTGACAGCTCCATCCTACCCCATGTGGGGGCATCAGGCTCCCCCCAGTGCCATGCACCCCACTTGCTCTGTGCCAAAGGCCATGCACATGTAGGGGGCACAGTGGCAGGGTCTCCAGCAATAGAAAGTGCTGTGGAGTGCCC